GGTTTAGGGTTTAGGAATATACCTTAGATTATAGTAGGATCCTTAGTATGATTTAAGGTATATTCCTTAACTAAAGGACATTGGAGTCTCTGGGGGAGCTCGGGTTCCAGCATTTCGGGAGTAGGGCCATGGGCTTTGGGAGCTGGGGGTTTATGGGTTTCAGGGTTTAGGGTTCAAGGGTTTAGGGTTCAAGGGTTTAGGGTTTAGGGTTTAGGGTTTAGGGATTTCAGGGTTTATTGTTTAGGGTTCAAGGGTTTAGGGTTTAGGGTTCAAGGGATTTCAGATGTACTATGGGGGCCTTAATAGTTAGAATAGGGTTCTGAGTATTCTATACTATAGTTGTAAGAAGGAACCCCGAAAATCCTATTCTAATTCTTAAGGCCCCTACATTATAGTAGAAGCCAGAGAGTTGGAACATCACTATCCTCATGCCCTTCAGGTAAAGCAGAAAGGATCCTAGGACCAATCCTCCTAAACCCATGTTCCAACTTTCTGGGGTTCACTGTATAACCTGGGTACGGTCCGCGTACTAGTAAGGGCCTTACGTTGCATGCTTCGGTTTTCAAGGGTCTAGAGGCTTCTATATGCGCTATACAGCTTCGAAAGAAATATAATAAGAGTCATAGAGATGTCAGCGTTGCTAAACTATTGAAATTAGATCATGGGATCCTTTCCTAAACCCTAAACCCTAAACTCTGAAATTCCTCGCTTGGGTTCCTGTATGCACAAGGATCCCTATTACCCTCCCCCTTATACCAACGCCCTCCCCTCAAGGATCCAAAAATGAGAGCACTTGAGTTGTAAATGTCACAAGAATCGCAATACCCCAATGAAGCCAAGATTTGCAGTTCGGGAATGCAAGCTGTTGTAACATTCCCTACATCCTTACCCCGAAGCCCTAAAGCCTTGATCCATGATGTCAAAAGCCGCGGTACGACGCGTATGTATGTGTGTGTAAATATATATATATATGTGAACCTCATCCCCGAACTTATGATACAGCCCTTAACCCTAAGCCCTAAAAGCCGCGTTATAGGACTCTTGTAGAACCTTACACCCGAAAGCCTGACAGTAGCCGCCATTATTAAACTCTTACAGGTCCCTGCGCCCAGTAGGGGCTAGTAACTCTGATAGAAGCCTTTTTCAAAACCCTTAT